TGGAGAGGTGGTTGGGGCTGGGGAGGAACAGTATGGAATGGAAGAGGCGGCTGGTATTAAATATGCAAGACACCTTTACAGTCAGTAACGAAATGCAACAAAATTATTAAACTATTAAAATAAAATGTAACTTTTGTAACTTTGCTTCTTTATACGATTATACTTTTTATTGAATAATTCCTTTTTATAAATAAATATATTTTGCAATATAATCTATAGTTCATTCTTACATTTAAATTTAATTGCATATAGATATATGTACTTCATGTCTTTCCTTTTTTCGCTTTTATTTAACAATGTACAAAGTGAACCAATAAAAATTACTATTTTAAACATCTCCGCAACTCTCTATGTTAATGAACTTTAACCTATAAAATAAGCCTTTCAAAATGATGGGGAGATTGTGAGAACATTGAAGAAAAAAAATAAAGTTTACCATTATGCACGCCGTTTTTCGTCGCGCAGACACTATGAACAAGCGAACAGATGTTATCACAACACACGAAGACTAATACAAATGTATTACACTACCCAAATTGCGTTACATTAAAAATGTTGTCACATTTATTGTTCAGTTATTTGTCAGCATCATTTTATATGTCTCCAATTCGGTTCTTTCATGAAATGTGGTTGTAATATATGTAGACAAATACATAAACTGAAAGGTGGAATCACAGGACATCAATATTTGTAAATATTTTAAGAAAACCATGTGAATATATTAATTTAACAAAATAAAGTTGCTATCTCAACTTCGACCTTTCTTTCGGCGATATTTCCAAACGATTAATCATGAGAACAAAAGTAGGCGTTCCTTTTACAATCCGTCCTCCGTAAATATACATTCTTGAACAGTGAAATAGCGAATATTGTCCAGGAAAATAATCTACTATCACTCGTTGATCTGTACTCACGGTCTAAAAGAAAAATGAAACTTACAGGTTGTATTCTGCTGTCTACATGTTCTTCAATCTTGTCATCATTTTACTAATTGTTCCCAACGAGATACCACCAATACAAAATTACCTACTGACTCTTTGGATATGAATTTTTAAAATCTGAAGCAATGCAGGTAATGTTAGTAAAATAACGACAAATTTGGAGCAAACTTGTTACACTTATAGATAGTGGTGTGCAACCTGTAAGTCTCATTCGTTTTTAGACCACGAATACAGATCTGTGAGTGATAGTATATTACTTACTTTCCTGAACAATATTTTCTATTCTGTGCGTTACGATAAGCAATAAAGATATAAATTCCAGAAGCATTCCAGTGGGATGTCTGCTTAAATAAAAAAGTGATACATATATTGTATGTAGTACGCATGCGCGGCAACTGTTCGCCTGGCTGTGGTATCTGCGAGGCGCCAAATGACATGTATCATGGTAAACTTTATTTTTTTTTTTATGTTCTCTAAATCTCTCCATCATTTTAAAAAGCTTATTTTACAGTTAAAATTCAAGTAATCCAATGGTATTTTTTTAAAATTGTTCTACGAGTGGGAACAGTGTCAAATCAGCAGTTCAAACTTTAGCAGCAATTATTGTTATATTTGTTAATAATAAAGTTTTATATATATGTATATTCGAAAAAAGTATTTCTTTAGCTTTAAACTGCGCCCAAGGTCGAAGCATTATTTTTAAACAAAGTCAAAATATTGCGGTTAAAGTGATAACATGTTCGCTGATTTTGTCTAATTTTTAGAAACTTTAATATTAAATATCTCGAAAACCATTTGAGATAGAAAGCTAAAACTGTACATCGTTTAGTTTCTCAAGATTATCAACAAATTCTGCAAGTTTGAAAAAAATAGGTGATTATGACCGCAATTCTGTGCGATTTGACGTGGAATGGCTCGTATGTGAAAATAAGATCATCTTAAACATCCTCAACAATACTTATAACATAAAAAGGAATGTGGAAAAACCAATAGCATTGTTTAAATAATATCATCATAACTACTTAGAAATATTAACATAAATAAAATTAGTCAGGTATGGAATAATATGATACCAAATCATATTTAGTTATACGTGAATTTTCAAAAACAATCTTCGCGAAAACGATGATGAAGTATGAAGAATCCTCATTTTATACTTTTCTGTTTATTATTGCATAAAGAATGACACCCATTTTAGATGTACGTTAAACTACGAATTATATCCTACTTAGATATGTAGTAATAATTTTGCTGCCGTATTGCAACTTATAGTGAATAATATTAACTATCTCCCTTTCACAAAGATAAGTTTGTTAATATGTTTGTTAATTCATCGTTTTGTAAAAATAACATACGTATTTATGATCTAATTCCCACCACCATTGACAATTTTATATAAAAACAAATCGTTCTTTTGTCTCGAAAAACAATTCTCTAAAATTAATGAATTCGTTTTACTATTGCTAACCTTTATTTCTAATTTGTTTACTTTCTTCAATTTTTTCAAATGGTAGAATATCATAAATAGACATTAATTAATTACTATGAATTGTATTTTAGTTATAGTATATATGTAGAAGGTATAAAACATTTATATGTTGCCTGTCCTTATATTGTTGAAATGTACACCTA